GGACACAGCCCTCTGCACTGGGTGTTCCTAAACCTCTGATTGCCAGAAGCTGGGACTAGACGACAGGGGATGGATCACTCAAAATTGCCCTGTTCTGTTCATTCCCTCTGCAGCATCTGGGACTGGCCACTGTCAGAAGACTGGATACTGGACTAGGAGGCCCATTGATCTGACCGAGTATGGCCGTTCTTATGTTCTATATGTTAGCTAGCACTTGGTTTAAAAAAATATCCACTCTTTTTCCTGATGCAGACACCCACTGAGGCTACATCTACACTGGTACTGGAGGTGTAATTTCCAGCTGGAGGAGACATACCTGTGTTATCTCGATAGTGTAAAGCAACAATGGGATGGACTAGCTGCTGCAGTACATCTCTAGGGTTTCAGACTGGTTCATAGTCAGGGCAGCTAGCCTGGCCTGCCGCTTGCATCATCACAGCTACGCGGCTGTTTTAAGAACACTCACTCACTCAGAGGTTGCGCGAGTATGGCTTCCAAACTGGAAATGATGGTGTAGACATACCCTGCGTGACATACCTGAGCCACCAAATCCGGCATGTCCTGCAAGGACGCTGATGGCACTGTTTGTTAGCAGAGGAGGAACATCACATGCCAGAACATTGCTAATACTTAATATAATGTTGATCCTGTTCCCGGAGATGCATTTTATTCCTACTGCATTACTCATGGTGACAGTGTGAACGGTTGCTTCCCGTTGATCCCGATATTGCTGTTCTGTTTGAAATAATCTGTTGAAACTTGGGGTACCTGTTGATTGGGAACCTGCCTCTACATATTTTAACTGGCTATTAATCCCAATATCCTCCCCTGCCGTCCCCACCTTCTCTGTCCCTGCCAGGAAGCAGGAAAGGACCAACAAACTAACACTAACTAAAGGGAATGGGTCTAATGCAGGTAGAGGCAGTAAATACAGCCTGGTAACTCAACACGCAGTATAACTAACACGTGCATGCACTGTCACTGCTCTCTGCCATCTCAATGGACCTCAAAGTACCACTGCTAACAGCAATTGGGGGAACATTTGGGGCTGCAGTGTCACCAGTTAATGTGGATGAAACTCAGCTCACCCTCACCTTTGTGTGGATCCTGAACCCTAGAACTTGCGCTTTCCCAGAGGCTGATAGAGATGAGGAGACTCGCTGATGCTCTGCCTGGCCAAAATGGAAATGGTGCTAGTTGGAGGGGAGCATCAGGAGGAAGGGGTAGGGAGTATGGGATCTCTGCCTGCACTTGCTACTAGGGATGCACGCCTGCCTTTGGCCAGCAGTCTTCTGTTTCTTCTCCTCTTCTGCAGGAGTGGCTATTAACGAGACATTGTCCTCCTCCCACCCCAACAGTTGCTTTTACAGGCATCTGGGCTCTTCTGTGCATTCATGAACCAGAGGTCAAGGTGGCGTTGGGAACCTGTGATCAGCCAGTCTGCAGAGCACCAGCACCAGCACGTGCTCCGGGGCTCAGTTGGGGAATGAGCGGTCTAGCACCCAATGGGCTGAGGGACTGTCTCTTCCCCGGGGTCTTTTCTGGGGAGGACGCTCTGCTGGGCTAGCTTTGCTGCCCGTCCGTGAAGGTCATGGTGCAGAAGCAGCGGCAAAGCATGCTCAGCGGAGGACCTCTGCCTGTGCAACCCTTGCTGTCCAGTAGTCTACCAGAGCCCATGTTGGGCGAGCACAGGAAAGGCACAGCTGTTTAACGGGGCTTTCCGACAGCAAGCACGGCAGAACTCACAGCTGAGTCATTTAAAATGGCAAGTCTCTAACTGACCGACTAATGAGGCTGTTTTGATGTATTTAAAGAGCCCAGAAGCAACAGCAAACAACTGTATAAATAAAAAACAGTGACCTCATCCTGCCCTGCGCTGGGGGGAGGAAGTTCCCATGCATCCAGCCAGCAATAGGATTCAGGCTCCTTTCTAGGGCAGAGGGAAAGGTAGCAGCAGCGAATCCCATCACTAGTCCTCCCTTCTGTTCCCAGACTAAATCTGTGTTAGAGGAACTTAAACACAAAGCGGGAATTTAAGGGAGGAAAAGCTTAGAATAATGTAGATGTGGAGGGGGGGGACTCGGGGAGATACTGGAGAGGGAGGAAATCCTAAATTGCAGTAAAACAAGCCAGTGCTGGGGAGGTTGTAAGGGCCGAGCTCAGATGGTTGAGGAGGTGCTCACGCCAAACTGCTCAGCAATTCACTCAGGCCCAGACTGGAGAACGGTGCTGACTGAAGGCAGCAGCATTGGAAGGAGCTGGGGGATAGCCCTTCAAAAACCAGCTTTCTCACCGCCCAACAAATAACATGACAGCCGGCAAACCTAGCAGGCCAGAGCCACAGTCGCTGGCGGGAGCACTGCCTGTGCTGGAAGAAAGGGAGGGTTACGCCAACTCAGTTCTTCCTCCCTGCTTTTATCGTTTTTCCCCCTGCCATCAGCAATGACAGCTGGGGGCTGACAAGCCCAGGCTGTGGGTGTAGCTCCCGCTTAGTTTTCTGTGTTTGGCACCTTTAAATAGTAGGAGGCCTGATTCTCTACCGTTTTGTGGCAGTGTAACCCACTGAAGGCAAACGCAGGCTGATTAAATCTGCCGCTCTGCTTGTGGGAGGGTGGGGGTTGGGGAGGGGGTGCAGGATGGAGACTTGGGGCCTGTTGGGCCCGTTTCGGATACTGTTACATCCACTCACCTCAGCGACAGGAAAGGATTTGCAGGGGAGAGAAGAGACGCCTCCATGATTCTTTGCTTATGTCTACAATAAATGAGACTGAGTGTGCACGTTCTGACTGTTATGGGCTGTCGGCGGAAGGACGGGCCAGTGGTTAGAGCACTAACCTGGTACTTGGGAGAACTGCCACAGGCTTTAGGCTAGAGCTGCAAAGACTCAGCAGTACAAAGCCTAACTTTCGGCAACCTGCCTTCTAGCAGAAGTCACAGCCCCAGGATAGGCAGCCAGGCTCCCTCTGCAATGTACGGGGACTGAGGCACCTAAGAATGGGATCCACAAAAGCCAGCAAGCTGAGCGTGTTGCTGCCTAAACCAGCGAGTAGAAAATACCGGGGCGGAGGGGGAGGGGTCTATCTCTGCGCTGGGTTTACAGCCGCAAACCCTCTCCTGGAGTTAGGGGTCTGTGCCCCTGCTTGAAAAAATCAGAGGTAGCCACGGAAGAGCAGGTTGTGCAGCTTGCCCCGAAAAGGCCTTTAGCACGGAGGTCAGAACACTCCCCTCGTCTAGGTGGGCGACCCAGGTTCAATCCCCGCCGATGGCGTTGGAACAGAGATTTGAACCCGCATCTCAGGAGAGTGCCCCGGCCCCTGTGCAATGGGATGTTCTGATGTTCAGGGGATGGAGGGATAGCTCAGTGGTTTGAGCATTGGCCTGCTAAACCCAGGGTTGTGAGTTCAATCCTTGAGGGGGCCACTTGGGGATCTGGAGCAAAATCAGTACTTGGTCCTGCTAGTGAAGGCAGGGGGCTGGACTCAATGACCTTTCAAGGTCCCTTCCAGTTCTAGGAGATGGGATATCTCCATTAATTATTTATTATATGATAATATATATCATATATTATATATCTCTTGTTGAAACAGTTCCATCATGGGTGGTGGGTGGAGCCCCCCTTAGGGGAGGCTAGCCCCTGGCTCTGTCCCTTCTGCCTGAGACCCCCCTGCCACTCCCCCACAGCCAGAGCCATGAGTCCTCTCCCCCTCCCCTCGGCTGGAGGAGCCCCGGGCCAGCCAAAGCCCCAACCCTCCCTGCTCGGAGGTGCCCTGAGGCCCCACACACACCTGCCTGAAGGAGCCCCAGGCCAACCACAGCCATG